GAAGTGAAAGGCAAAGAAGAAAAGGAAAGATATACGAATATGAATGCATATTTCCAAAGAAGAGCAAGGAGAAATAAGAAAGTGTTCTTAAGTGAACAATGCAAAGAAACAGAGGGGAAAAAAAGAATGGGAAAGACTAGAGTTCTCTTCAAGAAAATTGAAGACACCAAGGGAAACTTTCATGCAAAGATGGGCACAATAAACGACAGAAACACTAGGGATTGAACAGAAGCAAAAGATATTAAGACAATGTGGCAAGGATACACAACATTGCACAAACATGGACTTAAAGACCTAGATAACAATGACGGTGTGATCACTCACTGAGAGCCTGCAGTGTGAAGTCAAGCGGTCATTGTGAAGTCAAGCGAGAGCCTGCAGTGTGAAGTCAAGCGGGCCTTATGAAGCATCCTTATGAACAAAGTTAGTAGAGGTCATCTTCATGAACAAAGTTAGTAGAGCTGATGTTATTCCAGCTGAGGTATTTCAAACCCTAAAAGATGATGCTGTGAAAGTGCTGCACTCAATATGCCATCAAATTTGGAAAACTCAGCAGTGGGAACAATATTGGAAACGGTCAGCTTTCATTCCAACCTCAAAGAAGTGCAATGCCAAGGAATGTTCAAACTATCATATAATGTCACTCATTTCACAAGGGAAATGCTAGAAAGGGAATGCTCAAAATTCTTCATGCTATGCTTCAACAGAATGTGAACCAAACACTTCAAACTGTACAAGCTAGATTCAGAAAAGGCAGAGGAACCAGATTACATTGCCAATATTCGTTGGAAAAAGCAAGGGAATTCCAGAAAAACTTCTACTGGTTGTCTATGCTAATGCCTTTGCCTGTATGGATCAGAGGAAACTGTGGAAAATTCTTAAAGACAAGGGAATACCAGACCAACTTACCTGCCTTCTGAGAGGCCTGCATATAGCGTAAGGAGCAAAAGTTAGAAGTGGACGAAGAACAACAGACTGGTTCCAAATTGGGAAAGGAGTAAATCAAGGTTGTATATGGTCACCCTGCTTATTAAAGCTATCTGTAGAGTACAACATGCACATTTATGGGCTGGATGAAACACAAGCTGAAATCAAATTGCTGGGAGAAATATCAACACCGTCAAATATGCATATGGTACCACCCTTATGGCAGAAAGTCAAGTGGAACTAAAGAGAATCTTGAGGAGGGTGAAAGGGGAGAGTGAAAAAGCTGGCTTAAAGCTCAACATTCAAGAAACTAAGATCATGGCATCTGGTCCCAACACGTCATGGCAAACAGATGGGGAAAAAGTAGAAACAATGTAAGATTTAATTTTCTTCTCCAAAATCACTGTGGAGGGTGAATGCAGCCATGACGGTGGTGGTGGTGGTTTAGTCACTAAGTCTTGTCCGACTCTTGTGACCCCATGGGCTGTAGCCTGCCAGGCTCCTCTGTCCATGGGATTGTCTAGGCATGAATACTGAAGTGGGTTGCCATTTCCTTCTTCAGGGGATCTTCCTGACCCAGGAATTGACCCTGGATCTCCTGCACTGCAGGCAGATTCTTTACCAACTGAGCTATGAGGGAAGCCCCAAATTAAAAGATGCCATGAAGTTAAAAGACTCTTATTTCTTGTAAGAAAAGCTATGACAAACCTAGATCATGTAAATAAAAAGCAGAGACATCACATTGCCAAAAGAGGTGTGTCTAGTCAAAGTTATGTTTTTCCCAGTGGTCATGTGTGGATGTGAGCACTGGACCGTAAAGAAGGCTAAGTGCTGAAAAATTGATGCTTTTGAATTGTGGTGCTTGAGGAGACTCTTGAGAGTGCCCTGGACAGAAAAGAGATCAAACCAGTCATTGCTGAAGGGAATCAACCCTGAATATTCATGGGAATATTTGATGCTGAAGTTGAAACTCAAAAATTTTGGCCACCTGATGGGAAGATTCGACTCATTGGAAAAGATGCTGATGTCAGGAACGATTGAAGGGATAAAGAAAAGGAGGCAGCAGAGGATGAGATGGTTGGATGGCATCACTGACTGGATGGACATTAGTTTGAACCAAGTCCAGGACATGGTGAAAGATAGGGAGCTTGGCGTGCTACGGATCATGGGGTCACAGTCAGTGATGACTGAGCAACTTAATGAAAACAACACAGAACTGCAAAACAAAAGTAAAACAAATTGTAAACAATGGACAATAGCTGATAACACTATATTGTTATTAGTTGCTCAGTTTTAACAAATGAACTTGTATCAGTTGAACCAATCCAAGATGTTAAATACAAAAGATGCTAAGTGGAGGAAGAGACTGGCTCTATAGGAACTCTGTACACTATCTGCTTAAATGTCTGTAGTCCTAAATCTGTTCTTTAAAAATAATACAGATGCTCATAAGACAAGATGCTCACCATTCATTATGAAAGAAATGCAAAGCAAAGCTACAGTGTTGTATCACCTCACACTTGCCAGAAAGCCTATCATAAAAAAATCTAGAAACAGTAACTGATGAAGAAGCCTGGAGAAAAGAGAACCCTCTTGCACTTTGAGGGGGAATGTAAATTGATACAGCCACTATGGAGGACAGTATGGAGGTTCCTTTAACAACTAGATATAAAACTACCCTATGACTCAGCAGTTGCACTACTGGGCATACACACTGAGAAAGCCATACTTGAAAAGATTCATGGACGGCACTGTTTCTTGCAGCACAATTTACAATAGCTAGGACATGGAAGCAACCACCTTAACTTCCACTGACAGATGCATAGTTACAGAAGTTGTGCTCGATATATACAATAGAATATGACTCAACCATAAAAAGTAACAGATTTAAGTCAGTTGTAGTGACGTGGATGCACCTAGAGTCTGTTATACAGAGTGAAGTAAGTCAGAAAGAGAACAAAATATATTGCATATTAACGCATTTATATAGAATCTAGAAAATGGCACTTAGGAATCTATTTGCAGGGTAGGAATAGAGACACACATAGAGAAAAGAAGTGGACACAGCAAGGGAAGGAGAGAGAGGGACAAATTGAGAGTGGCAATGACATATGCACGACCTTGTGTACAAGAGATAGCTAGTGGCGATGCTGTATAACAGAGGGAGCTCAGACTGCTGTTCTTTGACAACCTAGAGGACTGAGAAGGGGGTGGCGTGAGGGATGCTCACGGGGAGGGGGGATATATGTATACAGATAGCTGCTTCATACTGTTGTACAACAGAAACTAACACATTATAAAGCAATTATCCTCCAATTAAAATTTTTCATAAATGCACTACTGATTAAAATGTAGAAAAAATCTGGACAAGAACACATAACCAGTAAGACCTATATACAACAATGCCAAATGACTATGAGACAGGAACAATGAAAGGCAAAAGAGAATGTAAGAATTTATCCTCAAATTAAAAATGTTAGGAAACATGCACATAAAATATTCAAATAATTAAAAAACTTGAGCTATCTGGTATAAAATAGTTCACCATAGCAAAATCAAGAGTCTGGCCTGGAAGAATCAACAATTACTTTGATCACATAATAGAAAATGCACCAGAAACAAAAGCAACCATACAAAAAAGGTACCTACAACGAAACCTCAGAACAATGTATACATTCCACATGGAGGCAACAAGAGTGTCCTGACAACCTTAGGAGAAAGAAGTCTGAAACAGAATAGTATGTTATGTGTATTCATGAGGAGCAGATATTGTAAGACTGTCAATGTTCCTTAGCTCCTTTACAGATCTACTATGGACAGACCAGCTGAGACCACAATCAAACATGGGCTGCTGATTCCTGTACCTAGAATAAACCATGGAAAACTTATACAAGGGATAAAGACAACTAGTAACGGAAGGAAAAACACAAAACTAAATAATCCCTGAGGGAAAATAAGTCTCCAATGAACTTGACCCTGTGAGTGCCAAGGTGAGGGAGTACTTGGAGACTGACAAGGGGTGTGCAGCCTACAAGGGAAGCAGACAACAGGATCAGCTGCAAAAGGCTTTAAAGTTCAGCCCTTGATTCTTCCACTGTGCCCTGGGGCCATGAATCTCTACAGCCTCACTGAAGGAATCAGAGGTAGCATCTCAGAGCTCCCATGCCAAGACCATGGGGCACAAAAGTTTGGGTTGGATGTGGCAGTATGGCCCAGAGGTCATGAAATAGCCAGCACAAACTTTCTTGGTGGGTGACAACTAGCTCTTTTAAGTGATCACCTTAATAGACTATCACACGGGGCCTAAAAGAGAAAACTTAGTATCACAGAAATTGTACCAAGGGACAGAAATTCACCTCAGAACTTTCGAGCAATGCCCCTGCAGTCGACAAAGAGTGCACAGTGAGAACTGTCGGGCTTAGGAGCCCCTTCTCTTACTCTGCTGGGATTGTGTGGGGCATGGTTGGGGACAGGCTTGGATTCATACAAGAAAGGGAAGGATTTCCAGGCCCTGCCAGCAGTCAGTATGAACATCCTGAGTGAGATGTGAGGGGTTCCACACCACAGAAGGCAGTCTCTCATCCTTCCCTCTCAGCTCATCTTACCTGCAGCAGCCATTTCCTGGAAGCCTCAGGCAGAAGTGTCCAGAGGAGATGTGCCTTCACTTCTCACCAGGAGTCTCGGGGCTTGACGTCTTCAATGTGAGGCCTTGTCCTCAGGTCAGCAGATGGGACATAGCCCACCACTTACAGGGGCCAAGGGAAGACACGGAGAGTGGATGGAGCACCACTCAGCATAGAAGACAGGGCCCGAATGTGCCCTTCCTGTCATTCTCAGGAGCTCGAGGAAGCCTGTTGAGCCAGGCCACAAACAATTCCTGCGAGGATGCTGACGGAAGCTAGAGCCTGGGACGGAGACTCGTAGACACAGCTCAGTAGAGGGAAGGTGTCAGGATCCCTTAAGATTCAAGGAAAGGGGGACATGCCCATCTTGCGGGAAGCTCCCCCGGAACACCACCTGCTCTGGCCCCGCCTCTGCTGTCTGCCTGGAACACAGACGCACATGACCGGAAGTGACGTCCACGCGCACACGCTGGGGCTGCAGAAGCCATCTTTGACAGCTGCTGCCATCTTTGACAACTGCCGCGTAGGGGGCCCCCACGGAGGACTCCAGGTCTCATCAGGTGTCCAAGTTTGAGGTGACGTGAGTTACAAATGTGGGGACACACGTCTGGCACGGTCAAGCCTTTCCCTCTGAAAAGAGGGGGCCGGCCACCCTGCCCCTGGTCTCACCCGGAAGATTCGGGCCTGCATCTTAAGCCCCAAGTTCTTCCGCTACACCCAGGTTGTCTCTGAGAGGATGGCTTCGGTCTGGGGCTTGTGGACTCCAATTCTGCACAGTAGAGGGAAAGCCCTGAGCCCTGTAACTAAAGGAGGAACCCTCGCGGAGGGGAGGGGGGGACTGTGAGGGTCTCCACACCCCAGAACGGCGGCCACGCAATACCCTGACCCCCTGCAACTTGGCCTGGGAGCATCTGGGTACGATCTGGGCATCTAACGTTTGCGAGGCACCCTCACTGCGATCTCGGATGCGGGACACTGAGGGAGGAGGGGACCTCGGTCGGAGGGGTTGGTAGCTGGTCAGAACAGGGAGGATGTCAGGGCTCAGGAGCAGCCAGGGTGAGGACCATCCTCCCCGACACACAGGCGAATCAGCACCCTCCCCTGTGGTCAGCGCTTCTCTCAGCCAAACACAGGGAAGGGAGACTGTGGTCTGAGTGGGGTGGTTAGACCTTGCTTGCAGAAGGGCGGGTCCCGGGACCCTTCGGTGGGAGTCTGAGTGCTCCCTCCTCTCCTTCTCCAGAGTCACAGGGAAGGTGGCAGCATCACCTTCAGAACAGAAGAGGGAACGGGGCGGGTGCTAGAGGGTCGTTCCCCATTTTTCATCCTAACTCTGAATGTGAACTGAAAGGACACGCCTCCCCTGCGAGCCCCCACAGGCCCCCCTCTAACGCCCAGGCAGGGCTGTCTGGCTTCGCCCCAGGGCTCACTCTCACTTCTTCCTCAGGGGTCTCAGGGAACAGGCTGACCAGGAGGCTTGTGGGTCCTAGAGCATGGACTCAAGCCTCCCTAAGAAGCGGACTTGGTTTAAGCCAGGGATGACTCTCCCTGGTGAAGGTGCTCACAGCATTTCTCTGTCCTTCCTTAAGGTGCCCTCCTCGCCTGCCTTCCTATCTGCACGCTGAGTGCGGTCCCTGACCTCCGTCATCATGCCTCGGAAGCACAAAACCAAGCATCATGCCCACGGGAAACGCCACCAGGTCCAGGGGAAAGCTCAGGAGCCCCAGGCCAGTGCTGCTGCAGCCCCAGGAGAGGAGCGCCCCTCCTCCCCCTCTTCTTCTGTCCCTCAGGGTTCTCCCCCGAGCTCCCCTGCTGCTGGCGATCCCCAGGAGCTTCAGGGAGCCATGGCCCCTAGCTCTCCTGATGCAGGGCCTTCCTGCGCAGCATCTGATGAAGGTGCCCAGGGCCCAGAGGAGGAAAGTGCAGATGCCGCCCAGTCAGCCCTGGTCGTTCGGAGCTTTCGCAGAGATCCTCTGAACAGGAAGGCCAGCATGCTGGTGGAGTTCCTGCTGGAGAAGTACAACAAGAAGGAGCCCATCGCGCAGATCGCCCTGATGAAGATCATCAGCAGCAAGTACAAGGAGCACTTCCCTGAGATCCTGAGGAGAGCCTCTGAGCGCCTGGAGCTGGTGTTTGGCCTGGAGCTGAAGGAAGTCGACTGCAGCAGGAACATCTACGCCCTCACCAACAAGTTCAGTCTCGGGGTTGAGGAAGGGTCACGTGGTGAGCGGGGGATGCCCAAGTCTGGTCTCCTCATGGCGATCCTGGGCATCATCTTTACGAAGGGTAACTGTGCCACCGAGGAGGAGGTCTGGGATTTCCTCAATCTGTTGGGGATCTATGCTGGGAGGAATCACTCCATCTTTGGGGAGCCCAGAAAGCTCATCACCAAAGATCTGGTGGAGAAGGGGTACCTAAACTACCACCGGGTGCCCAAAAGTGATCCTCCGAGCTATGTGTTCCTGTGGGGCCCGAGAGCTCATGCTGAGACCACTAAGATGAAGGTGTTGGAAGTTATGGCCAAGATTCAGGATACGGTCCCGAGTTCCTTCCCAGACCTCTTTCACGAGGCTCTGAGAGATCAGGTGGAGAGAGCAGGGCTGAGAGGCGTTGCCATTCCTCCAGCTACGGCTGAGGCCAGTGCCCCTTCCAGGGCCAAGTCCTGCAGCTCCTCCCACATCTAGCGAGGGGGGCAGGGCACTTTGTTCCCTTTGTGTTGGAAGAGAACAGTCCACCTCTTCGATAGTGCAGGGTAATATGGGTGGAGGGAACAAAACCCATATATTGTTCACAGTTCTAAGTAGTATGGGAGTTTAGGTGCAGTTTAAACAAAATGTGTATGTTTTCCTTTTATCCATACGAATAATATCTAGGCAAAAGTAGATTATCTAGGTAGGTAGGTAGAGGTGTTTTATATTTTTAAATGTTACTACTCTTCACAAGTTTTACTGTGCTACAGAATCTAGGTTTATTAATGTCATGGATGTCATGTTTAGTGCTGTTAGGTTTATGATTACGAGTTTGTTATTTGTAAACAACTTGAAAAGACTTCAGTATTTTCCTGGTGGTCCAGAACGAGGCAACATAACGTTGCAATAGAATTTTACTTGAAAATGTGTAAGAATCCTAGAGATAAATACTTGGGATCACAAAGCTTTTAGAGTAAACGCTGGTTTATTCTTCGTTTGTCTTCTCTGTCCTCTTTCCTAGTAAGAGTTAATACCTTGGACTTAGATTTGCTTAGCTTACTCAAACTGTATGACACTTAAATGATAATAAAATAGAGTCTTTGCTCATCATTTCATTTTTCTCCCAAATTAATTGACCATCTTCTGTTTATAAGGCTTTCTTATAGTACTGGGTTGGTAAGAAAATGACCAAGGCACTGCCCATGGAATTTTGAGTCTAGCAGCAGGTACCATATAAGGAAGGTGGTGAGATAAGTCTAAGGAATAAACAAATCATAAATTAAAAGGGGGGAGGTGTGGAAGAGGGGGCTCCAGATGAGAGCAAGCAAGTCTAAGTTACCTGATTAAGGCGGCATTTGGTCTTGGGAAACTTCTAGTTACTCGGTGGGAGATAATTTTCAGTCCAGATGTATGGTGGGATAGATGAAGCTGTGGCAGTGATGCAAGACACTCATATGATGGTTCTCAGAGGTGAGGCTGTAAACCTGAAATATATCTAAACCATATATTCACCATTATTTGGGGATATCGGAAAACCATAGGGAATCTCAACATAGGGGATGGAAGGGGCCCTGTGCACTTGAGCCAGGGCAAGTGAACACTCAAACTATGTGTTTTCATCAAAAGCTGTCCAGAGAGTTTCTGAGAAATAAGGCTGATACCCACTGGAGTGAGATGCCAAGACGTCACTGGACTGTCTCTCTTTTTCTGGGATGGGAGCGTCAGAGCTTGCTCTGTTCAACGGGCAGTTTAATTAGGTTATGTTGAGTGTAATTTGGCAAACTTTCAGGGAGGGCTCAATTTTTACTGTCAGTGGTCTTAAATTAGGGGTGGTTTGGATAAAAAGGCAGCTGAGAGAGAATTTGTTGGTTCTTGAGACAAATGAACTTGTACTTGCATCCATTTGGAGAAGATAACCCCAAACACATTTTAAAACAGGTGCTCAAATACAGAAACACTGCTTAGTTTTACTTACTTGGGAGGATTAGTGCTGATGTGGATTTGATTATTGTTTGGAGTTGCATATTCTCTAATATAGACTGGAAATAAAATTACGTGATGGACGTTTGCTATCATTTGGGGTAAAAATCTTCTTCATAATAACTGCCATTCATTCAGAGTACCAAAGCTTGTCTCATACTGTGCCAGGTGATTTACATACATCACACATGTCTGTGGTCCTACACTATAGACTTTTTCAAACACAATTTGCAGATAATGAAGCTGGAATAAAGAAGCTCAAATTCAAAGCTCATAAATGAGAGGAACTGGACTGAACCCCAGCACCGAAATCCTCTAGAGCCCATACCGTGCCACTCCTCCAGGATGAGGCCAACCTTGGGTCACTTCCTCTTTCTGAACACTAGTCCAAAAGGTTTCACACGTTAAATAGCAGAACTTTATACCCCAAACAGTTTTGCAATAAAAATGTTCCAGAAATAAGTAACAAAACTATGAAAATAAAAGTGAAGTATGAATAAAGAAGGAGACAGCATTCAGTGACAATTTATCTACAAAGGAAATGTCAGTAAACCAAAAAATATCAGGGATGCACAAAATCATTTAATTCAACCCCTTCCTTTCAGAGAGTAAATCTGTTAGAGTGCAGGTTCTATAAGAGGCTGTGTCTGGTCAGTGAAGAGAAGGAAAAGCTCAGTGTGTTTTCTCTGATAGCACACCACCTATGTTGGAGCCCCCTCCCTGACTGCAGCTTCCCCATCACTCCTGGGACTGAACCCATTCTCCATGAGATTTGTTGCAGGGAGACTAAGACTTTTCAAAGACATGGCATTTCCCAAGAAGTCTTTCATAGAAGAGACAGGAGTCAAGGTGAAGACTAATGATTGAGGACTGAGGAGACAAAAACCACATCATAACTGAAGTCACAGAGAGACTGGCCTGTGTCTGCTCTCAGAAGGCCACGACAGGGCTGCCAGGCTGAGCATCCCCTCACTTCGTTTCAGGGCTTGCAAGGACATGATTTTTGGTCTATATGGGTCACCTTAAGTTGAAATAAAGGAGAAATCCAGGGCCCTCCAGGACTCAAGGTGAGGAACCTGAGTGAGGGCATACCCCAATGCTGAACAGAGCAGACCCCAAGAAGCCTGAATCCTGATATCATCCCTGAAAGGGCACAGGTAAGAGTAGCCTCGTGTGGCATTCCCAGACTTTGTTTCTCGGCACCACAGGGAGTGAGGACCTTACTATGAGGAGAGGTCCCTTAAACAAAGGGACAAAGAAAGGAGCCCCAAACTGCCAGGAGTCAAGCTTTGGACTTAGGAAACCCGCTGACCTCAGAACTCTGAGGAAGCCCCACAGAAACCTGACCTTCCTGGCATCCCTGGGATATCTGCTCATTGTTGACATGACATGCCCATTTCCATCCATGATGTCACAAGGAGTTTTGGGACATTGTCCAAGGGGTATAGCCTAGGGCCAGCAGTGGGATGATTTCCAGGTTTTCCAGAAACAAAGGGAATACCCTGAAGACAAGGGGACCCACACACCAACTGAAATTATCAGCGTTCTAGAGGCTGCAAGTCCAAGATGAGGGCTGGTCTACCCTTGGTGGCCATGTGGCCGCCCTCTTCACTTGGCATTCCTTTTGACTCCATATATCCCTGGTGCCTCCTTTTGTGTTCCAATCTCTTCTTGTGTCACACTGGGTTATGGCTCACCCTAATGACTTCATTTTAACTCAACCAGCTCTTTAAAGACCTTATCTCTAACTGCAGTTGCATTCTGAAGTACTCTGAGTTATGCCTTCAATATGCATTTTTGGAGGGGACACAATTTGGCCCCTAACAGACAGAAATCTAAGGTGTCTCTGCTCTAATCTCAATGCATGAGATTCCAGTGCACAGACTGGCATTCTACACACATTGTCTCCAGGGAGTTTCTGAGATGTTAGGGTGAACTCCTTTCAGGTGTGCAGGGAAGGAGGAAATTCTTCCCTTTACCCCTTTTGAGTTCTTGTGGTTAGACTACTAATAAAGTTGACACAAGACAGGGTAACAGGAGAAAAAGAGACAAATGGCAACTCATGTGCACAGAAGTGTCACAGAAATGGGACTTAAGAAGTGGGCAAAGCAGGCAGCTTCTTTATTTTGTAGACAACAGAACAATTTGTGAGCAATTGACAGGAGAGATAAATTTAGGTTTTAGGTACTCAACTAGTAAGGGATCTAAACAGAATCTGTACACGGGGTAGTAAATTAAAAGACTTAACAAGGTTTGTGTATACAGGCTTCTCTGCTTGAACTGCCTATTTCTGGTTACAAGGGTTTCCTTCTGCCTCCAGATGCAGGCAGTACATCCTTCATATGCGATTTCCTGCTCTCAGGAAGACAGAAATCGCAAGGTGGCGGAATGTCCCTACTCTGTAGGCTGTTTGTTAAGTAACTTGAATTAAAAATAAGCAAGATGGCATTGTGGTATATTTGGGGTCAGAGTGCCCTAAGCCTTAACAGATCCCTCCTCTGAAACTTGCCTGCAAGTTTCACATGGTAAAAGCTGATCTGGTCACTGTGTAGAGAGAGAATGGATTAGTGGAGTCCTCCATTTCATAGCAGCAGTTGCATATTTCTGAGAACAGGCCAGTTAATTTCAAGAGTGGTATCTCATTTCAATAGGTGGTGATGCAGATGGGTTCCCAAACTGGGTCTATGGTGCAAGCAGTATCAGGTAGTTATTAATAGGAGGCATTTCTATGGAAAGCAAAGAAAAGCAGACGTTAATGATTGGAGCTGATTATAAACCAGTTTGTGAACCCAGGTGGTAGTCAGTCAAGAAGTTTTCTAGCTGTCAGGATCGAAGCATCTATTGCAGTTTGAAATGTCTCTATCACAGTTTGTAACATCTCTGGGTGTTCAGGGTAACTTTCTGAGTGGCTTGTACAGCAACAGGCATGAAGACTGCTTAAACATGAGCTGTTGTGGCAGTTTCTCTGATCTTTGCAAGTCATCTAGCTTCACGTTGCAGGACATAAGGAGAAGGGCAATGTTATTTCTCAGGGATTGAAGTCAGAAGAATGGGAGAGTGAGTGGATCACGATGGCAGAGGAGTATCGCTTGGAGCTCACTGTCTCCCCACAGATAACGGCAAAAGGATGGGAGAAATTGGGAATTTTAGTAAGAAAGTTGCAGCTAGATACTGGTGGACACTAGAAAAATTCAGGATCCAATCCAGTTTGCAGGTAAATAATAAAACTTCCAGGAAACCTAATACCACTAGAACCTAATACCCACACATATGTAGTACAATTTCTATTGAACCATTTTCTTCTCTCAAACATCTCCCTCATTTCTACCAAAGTTAGGAAAACTAAGACCTCATCTGTTTGCAAAGTAAGTCTAAATTCAATAACTTGGCCTGATTATTTCTATAAGTACAGTAAGAACGACGATTTGCCATATAGGGGCTTTTAAATCTTCTTTGCTAGAACGGTTCATATGGAGTCTCTAGAAGGAGATTTTAATACCCTCTCGAGGCTAGGAAGCCACAGCAAAACATGTTGTCAAACCTAGAGATCTGGATGAATTCCTCTCTTCCCGAAGTCCCCAAAACATCCTAAAGCTCCTGTGCCTGCCAGAAGTGATCTTCCTTACTCACCTGGTAAGGCTGATGGGAATTCTGTCAGCAAGGTCCCAGGCTATTTTTCCAACGGGTTTTTATGACTCCCGATGGTTAACCTAAGTTTCCTCAAGTTATCTGGTCATATCCAAGTCTACCTGTGTCTGTCAAATATGACATCGCAGTCAAAAGTCTCGGTAGTGTAATCAATGTTTCCAATTGTGTCCTGCTATAAGAACAGATTCTTACTGAACTTTTGAAAAATGACTATTTTCCTAAGAAAATAAGAACACTGACAGTTTCTAATTTCTGGAGTCATATGGTAGGGAGAGAAAAATTAATGCTCCAATTCTAATGACAAAGATACAATTTATCAAACTGCTGTGTTAAAAATTTTCCTTATATCTAGAAAATTAAAGATTTTTTAAAGACAGCAATCATTCAAAAAATGAGGAAAACTATCATCATATTTGTAATTCATTAAGCCCCATGTTCCTAATTCTTATATTGCTAGAGTCCAGTTTTTGTATTGCTTCTAT